CCGTTCTTGAGGAAACAGATCGTGATCCAGAGGCGCTGGTCCCGTTCGATCTTGTACTGAAATTGATTTCTTACATTCATCGAAGTTCGCGTGACCTTTCGGAAAGCATATTGGTATTTCTTCCTGGATGGGCTTCTATTAGCCGAGTGACTACATTGATTCAACGATCGCCTATCGCCCGAGAGTTGTCTGTTTTACAGCTTCACTCAAGTTTAACGGCATCAGAACAACAAAGAGTGTTTTACCGAGCCCCTAAACGGTATAGAAAGGTGGTACTTTCTACCAATATTGCAGAAGCAAGTGTAACCATTGATGATATTGTATTTGTTATTGATAGCTGCTTAACAAAAGGCACATCATATGATGCGAAGGGAAATACTTCCGTTCTCAAGGCCACATATATCAGTAAGGCGAATGGTATGCAGCGTCGTGGTAGGGCTGGGCGCTGTAGAGCAGGGGTATGCGTTCATCTTCTTCCTAGGACTGCATATGGAGAACTTCCAGAATTTCTTTTGCCAGACATTATGAGATCTCCACTGGAAGAGGTTTGCTTACACGTAAAGGCATTGAAGCCAGATGAAGGCTGTGCGAAGGTGTTGAGCCGTGCTATGGATTCTCCACCAGGAGATTCCATAGAACATGCAATTAGGTTTTTGAAGGATATGGGTGCCTTTACCTATGAAAAAGAGCAATTGACAAACCTTGGTAGGGCGCTCTCAAAGCTTCCTATACATCCGCTGTTGGGTAAAATGCTTCTTGCGGCTGCATGTCTAGGCGTTTTGGAGCCAATCGCAACGATTGCTGCCTTTCTTTCTGGGAAATCACCATTTATTAAACCCTTGCCAGAGCAGAAGATACCCATGCGAAATGCGATGAAAAACATCGATAATGGTCTATTATCAGATCATTTTTGCGCCTTGAAATTATTTGATGAATGGAAAAAACTAACTGTAGTGCTGATTACGCGATGCAACAGTTTGCAGATCAGACTGTGTTACGTTCAATGGACCGAATCCGAAACCAGTTGTTGCGTCTTGTAAGAGATTCTTCATTATTACGTAAGGTTAACGATCCTATGCGAGTAGCTTCTCGACATTCCAGAAACGTGGGGCTAATTCGACTGGTAGCTCTTTGGTCATTTTACCCTCGCATTGCATCGTTGGAGTACCGAGCGAACCGCAACAGGAAGAAGGCGGAAGTGTTTTGTTGGGACAACAAGGCTTCTCAATTTGCTATGGGTTCTGTTGTAGCAATGCGAACTCGCGACGATTTTAATGATAGGGTTTTTGTTTTTTATCATGAACGGATGTATCTCGAAGCCAATCTTACGTTGTTTGATGCCACGGCCGTGACTGCTGTGGAGACGGCGTTGTGCCTTCGTGAGCTTGCTCTTCGGCCATTTAACGAAGTTTCACCAGCATTTCTCACGGATGAGGAAAGCAAAATGGCACCTGCATTTCCGTTTGCTTTGGAGAGAGAAGAGGAAGCAAAACATCTTGCTGTCTTATTTTTTGATGGAGACAAGAAAGTGTACGTGACGTCCCTACCTGTGGGACTGCTCTTGCGTGATCTTAGGGAGTGTATGGACTACTATCTTGCCTTGGCCATAAAGGAAGTTCGAGCCGATCTCTTTCCTGAGGAGTTAATACGAGCACTGGCCTACACTATTGGGTACCCTATTAATGAAGAAACGAGTCTCACTGTCGATGAAAGCCGTGATAACCCTGTTGCCACGGATACGGAAGAACAAAAATTGGTAGAACCGACCATGACTTTTTGCGGAAATACCCACTTGAATGATAATTCTGAGGATGAGGGTGATGCACCTGAAATTGTCATGGAAGAATTTGAGGATATGCAGATGACTGAGGAAGAGATTCAGCGTGCGATTGCAGTTTTTGGAGACTTGGCCATTTTAAATCGTCACAGTGGGTCACGTCTGCTTGGAGCGTTTGAAAAGGGAGAACAACAAAGAGGGGTTGAGGCTGAATTAAATAAGAACCTGGAGGAAAACATTATACCAACGGAAACCGAACCGAAACTGGAAGGCAGCGACGGTCAGAATGCTAATGAATACGATGACGACGATGAGGACATTATTGTTGCAAAGGTGGGTGAGTTGGACATGGACTATGAAGACTGGTAAGGTTACTGGCGTTATCGACGTCTACCTCGCGCTTCAGCGAGCCAATGACTGGCTTTTATTACTGTTTTTTTTGTTTTGTTTTTTTGCCATGTGGTGCCTCTGCTTCGGTATCTTACATGTTGTTGTAGAGGCTTCTGTAAGGGAGTTGCGAGCAGACGAGGGCTCGCACGTTACTTTATCCACCTGGAATAATTAGATGTTACACTTTTCTTTTGCACTCGCTTCGGTGGACCATTGCGTGGGTCGTGGTCGGGCCTCAGCAGAGCGGTGCATTTGCCGTTTTTCGGTCCCCCCCTCCTCCCCAATTCCCCTTGGGCCCGCCTCGCTGCGGCGTCGTGTGCCGCTGGGAGGAGGAGGGTATGATGAAGAAGAAAACCACTCAGCCGCCAATTCGGAAGTGA